GTCTCTGTGTGTCCTTTTAGGCACTGCCTCCAGAAGAGTAAACCCTGGATCTGTCACTGCTCGGACTCAGCTGAGGCTCTGGGTGGTAACTCTGGCCTTTTGTGGAGAATATCGTTGTTGACGAGTATGTGGGTGATGAGAGCCCTACCTTCTCCTGACTTCCCAGGCCTCAGGACACCAGGTCAAGTGGGAGTCTCAGTCCCTTCCCTGCTTTTGTGCTTCGTCCCGGGGTCTTTGGGTCTGCGTCAGTCCTTCTGTCACCGGTGTCTCACCTTCTCACACTGACGCATCATTCCCACGGCCTGGGAATGTGCTCCATGCTTAGGAGGAATCCAAGGCCCCGGGGTGTGTATTGGAATTGGTAAGGAATTTTCTAGAAATATTGGGCTTTACGGTTATTGTTATCAACAAAGGGCACAGGGCATCCAGAATATGTCTAGAAGGGAGGAGAAGAGGGCTGGATCACCAGCATGGATTGTGGCAGTTTCCCTGGTGAGCGAGACCAGAGTGAGCATGCTACAGCTCTGAGCTCCTGCAGTAAATCTGGCCAAAGGTGGGCATATGGCAAGTGGACCAGCCAGGGAGCAGTGGGCAGAGAAGAAACCTCCTCATTTTCTCTCTAGCTAGGAGAAAATGACTTTACCCAACTCTGGAAGACTCTGGAAAGGTCAGCGTAGCCCAGCCAGAGATGTAGCTAGAAGCCAGCAGGGTGGGTGGGCTGGCAGGCAGGAATGAATGCCAGCATCCCAGGCGGGATCATTGCCCAAGGAGGGTGGTTCCAGCACCAGCACTTGTGAGCAGCCTGCTTTCCCCTTTCTGTACCACCTGGAGGGGAGGCTGAAGTCCACCTTCCTGTGTCCTAGAAACACACTCCAAGAAATTGCTGCTGCTCTGGGAAGACCTGATCTAGGAGTCCCGGGGTACCATATAGTCTTCAGTTAGGCCAACCGGAGCTTTGTTCCCCGCCACGGCCTCTGCCCTTTTGGCATTGCCTCTGGGGACCCAGTTGACCCTCACTGCGGGCAGAGGTCTCACGGGCCAGGGGAGGCTCACTCTAGAGACTGAATTCCCATTTATGCACTGGCCTCGTTCATGGTCAAGGAGGCTGTGAGCCATTTGAAGGCAGGGATGGTAACGCCACTATTGCGTCATCTCTGAGTCTCCATTGTGCTGACACACAGCAGGTGCTTGTAAACACTTACTGGGAGGAACAGATGGATGAATTTCCTCCTCTACAGATTCCTGCTCAAACTTTTTTTTTTGATAGTTAGTTTTATTAAAACCAACTACTGCTTCTCACAAGGAAAAGTCCTTGGTATCAGGAAGACTGATCAAGCTCCATTGATTGGGCAGTGAACTTCAGCGAGGAGCCAGGGAACAGAAATATGAACAGAATTATTCCCTGGAGGCCCCAGGCTCTGTATCCCCAAAATCCCTGGAGTCATCCTTTTTGAGACCTGTCTGGTCAGTGTTTTCTTTGGGTTTCCGAGCTACCCACAGCTAATAAATTCCATACTTGCTTTGGTTTGGGTCAGAGCTGATTTCTGTTGTTAGCATCCAGAAAATCTTGACCAATACAATTATTTTCTGGTTATTCGTAAATATTCCAAAGAACACAAATTTTAAAATTACAATCTGTTTTATATTCATTGCTTTGACTCGTGTGTGTGTGTGTGTGTGTGTGTGTGTGTGTGTGTTGTGTTTTTCCAGTAATGATAACTCCACCTCCCATTAGTCTTTTCCTTTTCCTGGTTTTGATACTTTCCCCAAATAATATATGGAGAAAAACAGCGGAAGAAGGAATTTAGGAAAAGTCTTCTTCGCTTTTTTTTTTTGGTACCGAGCTCAAACTTGGGTCCTTGCATGCTTGTGAGGCAGGCGGTGGGAACCACTGAGCTACATCCCCAGCCCAGTAAAAGTTTTCTTTAGAGAAAGTTATGTCTTGTTTCTGACACACCTAACACAGTCTTTTCATTGGCCTGTTTCTTTTTCCTTGTGGTATTGAGGATCGAACTCTGAGCCTTCACGCAGAACTACATTCCCCACCCTTTTTTAGTTTTTACTTTGAGACAGGGTCTCACTAACTCACTGGTCTGCCTTGTCCCAGAGTTTATTAATTTGTTCTTTCTTTAATTTATAATTCATTCTTAACATTGGAAGGAGTTTATGGATTGTCTAGGGCAGGAATGGCAAGTAGGCTTCATCCTGGCATTCACCTTTTCTTTCTTTCTTTCTTTCTTTCTTTCTTTCTTTCTTTCTTTCTTTCTTTCTTTCTTTCTTTCTTTCTCTTTGAGACAGGTTCTCACTAGGTAGTTGAGACTGATGTGGAGCTCACTATGTAGCCCAGGCTGGTCTCGAACTCACAGCGATCCTCCTGCCTCAGCCGCCCGAGTGCTGGGATCACAGGCGTGCGCCACCATGCCCGGCAAAGGTTCTAACTTTAATTAATTGGTGGAGGTAACTTGCGTGTTATATCTGGGTTCAGTGGGAAAAGGATGTGGTGATTCATGAGCTTAGTGAGACGTGGCCATGGAATTGGAAGTCTGGATATAGGTAACCACATATTTATTGTCCCTGATGCAAAACCCTCTAGCTTGTGATTTTGCTCTGAGATGATTTCCGTTTGTGCACATTCATGGAAACAGTTCATTTCATGTTTGGATTTCTTCACATGTTGGGAAGCTTTTCCCTGGTAGTTTGGTGCAGAATGAGGGGCTGGGTTTATTTAGATATGCTGAAGCTAATTCTGACTTTGCCACTGACTAATGATGTCATTCTAAGGGAACGACAATCTCTTTTTACCCAAGAGGTGAAAAAACCTAGGACTGAGTAACCACAAAGTTTCCTTCCAGGTTTAATATCCTATTATTTGAATGAGTCACTGTCTGCCTCCTAGGGCCATGGTCCATTGGCCCCAGTTTGCACAGTCTGGGTTTATGTGATGGCTCTTCAAATATTTGAAGACCTACACCTCTCTGAGTGTTTTGTTCCAGGCTAACTTGATCAGTTTCTTTACTCATTTCTCATACTAAAAGTCTTCTGTTTTTTTCACCATACTGGTGTTTCTCTTCTGGCAGAAATAGTACCTCCCTGAAAGAATGACTCCCGGAACAGGATCCCAACTAGTTGTGCAGAGCAACTAACCTCCTGTACTCCGCCTATCCCACCAATACCTAGCCCAAGGGAGGCAGCCACTACAACTTCTTAGGATCTGAGGTTAGACGTTTTTGTAGCTTGATAGGCCTTTCCTTCTGGCTGCATGCAGAACAGATGCAAAAAGATGTGCATTCAGTTTGGAAGGAGGCAGTGCTTCCCCAAGAGATCCGTACGTAGCTGGAGCTCATTCAGAGAACAGGTAAAACTTCTTCATAAACATGAAAGGAAGATTTGCCAGAGATGCCATTATGTGTATGACAGTTTCCTTTCTCTCCCCAACCTCCACCCCTTTTCCCCTCCTCTTGTACCTTGTCCCCTTCTTTTCATAGCTCCGTGATGCCTCTCCCTATTCTCTGCACTCCACGTCACCTGACACCTTTGTCTTAGTAGCCCCTGTGTTTGTACTTTGCACAGAAGAGCAAGTACAAAGGCTGTTGCTAAAATAAAATGAACACAAGGGAAAGAAACACAGATTTGGAATGGAGCTATGGTCTGACTGAGCTTAGTGGAAACAAGGATGTGAAGGTCATTTGGAAAGAGTCTGGCACCTGGAATGACGTGGCTCTCTCTGCTACCCAAACCCTAAGGAAAAGGTGCTGTGAAGACCACAGGTTTCCCATGTGATGTGGCCCCAGGCCATCTTTCTGTGCCCTTTTCCTTCCCTATCCTCTCCCTTTGAACTCAGCCACCCTGGTCTTGTCCTTATAAACATCAACAGTGCTCCCATTTTGCGTTTTCTGGTCTTTCTCTCTGCAGGGCACTCTTTGATACTGCTCAGATGTCACCTCTTCAGAAGGTGACACCTTGTCCAAGATGGACCGCTTCTCTCCAACCTCGTCCTTTGGCCTGACTTATCTTTCTTAATGGAAACTATCACCATCTAACATCTTCCTTTATTTAGATGATCTAGAACACGAACTCCATGAAGTTAAGGCTTTGCTTTGCTCCGGACTGATTCCCAGGTGCCTCAGTGTGCACCAGACATATGCTGAGCCCTTGATTCCTATTTGTGATGGTGCAACTTTTAGAGCAACTTTTAAATCTCAGTGCTCATTAGCACAGAAATTGGTCTCACAAAAGCACTTTGTATTTTAATGGAAGGTTAACAAGTCTACTGGTTGACAAGTGAATCATTAAGGATGGGATGGTTTATTTGAGCAATTTGATCTGTTCAAAGAGGCCCTGGTACAACTCACTACAAAAACCCCATCTGCAAAAGGTCACTAAACATCACTCTGTGCAGGGAGAAATATAGGTCCCACTCCATTCAGAACTTTTCAGATCTGAGGTAAAGCCCTGGGGATCACGGGAAGAGGGGTAGAGTGGCATTTCTCTGTAGAAATAATCATGGCTCATTGCTAGATCTTTCTTTTTCACATTATTTTTAGGGAGCTGACCTGAGGAAGGTCTCTAGATAACAGGTGAGGGCAGGCTGCATGTGGGCCTTGAGGGAAAGTGATAGGAGAGAAGTGGGTGCAGGAAAGGGGTGAGCATTAGGGAAAGGCCTATGACCAACAGGGGACCTCTGAGTGAGTAGGAAGGGAAAATCCAGGAAAACTCAAATGGAGGAGCCGTGATACGAATCTGAAAACCAGTTGTGCTGATCATTCATCCAAAATGAAGTGACTTCCTGGGCCCCCAGGAGGAAAGAGAAGGTCTTAGTACAGGACTGACAGGCCAAAGGGAGATACGAAAGCCCCACTGGGCAAATACCCAAAACCTGCCCTTGTTTCTTCTTTGCTCGCTCCCCACTCCATTACCAAGACTTGAGTAAGTCCCCAGAATAAAATCCCATTTCATTTTAGTAGGAAAAACCATGAGCTTTATTAGTTACTAGTCCCTGAATGTAAATTTAGCTCAACAAGTTTTTCCCAGTGGCAATGAATAGTCTGGAGCTTTTCCAGATGGAGTTGCTTGGTGGCAGAATGTATTTTTCCAGGGATGACCACGGTAACATTTCCCATCTCATGTGGAAGTGATATTGACAATCCTCCCACAGAGCAGATCTTTGTCTCTCCCCCTGAATTTGGTTAGATCTTCTGCACTTGCTTCTGAAAATCAACGTGGAAGCTTCTAAAATGGCTTGGTGTCCTTCCTGGTTCTTCCCTCTTCAAGTCTCAAGGAGAAAGACTTCTCTTGAGTTCAGCTGCTATTCTTAGAGTTGCTCAAGAACTTCCTGTTGGCTAGGACAATTCAGTGTTTCTTTTCCTGGCCAATGTGCTAAAGAATGAAGAGAGAATCTCCCCACGTCCTTTAGGAGGTGCGAGGGTCAATGGAAATGGTGAAGATGTCTATTAATTGGGTTAATGAACAGATGTCTATTAATTAACCATGGATGTCAAGCATCATTGGTTATCTGTAGCTGGAATTTTCCTTAGAGGGGCTATGAATTCAGGTGTCCTGAGTGTTTTTCAGGCCAGAAAGAGAAACTTTTGTCTCTCATCTCTCATCTACACCAATTCTGACATTTCTTATGATAACACATTAATCATCTGGTTGGATTTGGGGCCACAGAGGGTGATTCAGTTTTCTTGCTAGTGCTAATGTCCAGTGTCATTTGGAGCCCAGGACACAGGCTAGAGGCAGTTGTTTGGTGTGGTCAGGTAATACCTCATGCAGCAGTGGGGGAGTGAATGCCTTGAACAACCAATGTCCCTGTGGATCCTGGAGAGCTTCCAGTGTTCCTGAGGGAAGACTTTGTTAATCTCATCTGGCTCAGAGAAGACCAGAGTGTGCAAAGAGGGGAGAAATAGAGAAGCATGAAAGTTTGTGCCAGTACTTTTTATGCTTCTAGTGTAATGGTTGTCCAGCGTGTTCCTTGGAGGTACAACAGGAGTCTCCTGGAAGGTATGAGGACTTTGGAGGTCTTTACGGACCAGCTATGTTCCTGATCATCATGTGCTTGGACAGGGAGGCTCCTCAAGATCCAGGCATCAGCTTATATTGTTCCTCATGGCACATCCTACACAAGGGGGTTCTCTGTCTCTGGGGCCACTTCGTCAGTATGGGCATTCTTCTTTTTCCCTGGTAAGAAGATCACAAACGCAGTTATCCTTTCAATGGTGAAAGTTGTCCCTTCAGCGTTTGGAATCTTGACATACTTGGCCTGGCCCCAGGCCTCTGAATCCTGTTTCCTGATACAAAGTCACCTTGGGGCACAGATACCTTTTCTCCTTATCTTCCAAAATCTTGGAAAAGGAGACTGTTTAAGAACAGAAAGTTCCAACCGTGTCTTGTCTAACTTTGTTCTGCACCTGTGCATACGTTGAGATGCAGATGGTAGAGAAAGGCAGAGCTGTGATGGGCCTGGCTAACTGACCTAGAGGGCACCCTGTGTGTGGATCCTTTTCCCTCTCCCAAGTTGTGGGGTCCAAGATGCTCTCTTCTGAACCTTTTGAACAATAGGCTAAGTGAAAGAAGCCAGTTATAAAGGACCATGCAGTGCCACTTACACAAAATATGCAGAAAGACAAATGTACAGAAACAGAAAATAGATTGTGGTTGCCTAGGGCTGTGAGAGGAGTGGGAGAGTTGGGGAGTGGTGGCTATGAGGGTTTCTTTTGGGCCTAATGGAAGTGTTCTAAAATTGGTTGTGGCGATGTATAAGTGCAGTTATACTAAAAGCCACCAAACTATGCATTTTAAATACAATATGTGAATTATACTTCAATAAAGTTGTTCTTTTTCTAGCTTCTACTTTCTTTTTTTCGGTACCAGGGATCAAACTCCGGTCGTTGTGCTTGCACGGCAGGCACTGGAACCACTGAGCTAAATCCCCCACCCTAGCTTCTACTTTCTTATCTCTTGGGACTCTTGGGAGCAAAGGGCCAGGGCCAGACTCTAACAAGACAGGACTTTGGAGCTGTGGAGCGCAGCAGCAGCTGCTCCTCCTCCTTCCCACCCTCTGGGAAGAGCGAATAGGACCCAGCACATCCTCCTTCCCCCATACTTAGGGCCTGGGTTGTGCCTGGGTCAAGACTCCGCCTCCTAGGACTCATCCACCAACTTGGGGTCTCCGTGCTTCCTCCAGCTGACCCTGGGACCAGCAAGCTCTCCCTGCCTGGCACGGAAACAGCCACAAAGCCCATAGAGTTGGGGAGTTCTTGTGGAGTTAGAGCACTGTGGAGCTAGTGCCTCCCGCAGCAGAGGCCGAGGAGGGTGCTAAGCTGGATATGGAGCTCAGAACCTGCTCTGGCCTCTGCGTTTTCCCTTTCCTCCTCTTCTCATGAAGGTGACTTTACAGCCATTGACCAGGGAGGAGCTTCTCTCAGGGAGCCTTTTTCTAGGAAATGTGGGCAAGAAAGGGTTTGGATTCATTCAGCAAATGTTTACCAATACCAGCTCTGTTCCTGGAAGTATTATGTTCTTAGAACAACTGGGCATGCTCTAGTGATGCAGCCTTTGCCTTAAAGGGCTCAGAATGGGGGGAGGGTAGATGTAATTAGTTCTGTGACCGGGGCACACAATGGAGCTTAAAGGAAGGACATTAACCAGGTATTGAAGAGCATGCTGCAATCCCAGAATCTCAGCACTCTCTAAGGCTGAGGCAGGAGAACCACAAATTTAAACCCAGTCTAGGTGATTTAGCAATTTAGTGAGACCCTGCCTTGAAATAAAAAGGGCTGAGGATGTACCTCAGAGTGAAGGCTCTGGATTTAATCTTCAGTATTGGGGAGAAAAAAAAAAAGAAAGGACATTAACCCTCCTGAAGGTGGGGCATAGGAAGAGGTTAGGGCAGGGTCAGTGGGGCAAACTTGTTTGGAAGGTCAAATAGGAGACAGCCAAACAAACAGGCAAGGGGAGGTGGGTGGAAAGCCATGGAAGTGTGTTCTAAGCAGAAGCAATAGAGAGTGTATGGCCTGGAGATATATATAAGAGAGTGGAGAACTGCAAAAGAAATGCCAAGTAGTTCAGTGTGGTTGGAGAACAAAGTTTAAGACGGAGAGGGCCTGCAGCTGTGGCAGGAGACGTAAGGGGCAGATCACCTGAAGCCTAAGTACATGGAGGTTCGACACCACCTCCTCCCAGCAGACCCATGTCTTCCACCTGTCTCCTGCACCTACGGGACTCCTACCTGAGCAGAGGCCGCTGTGCCACACGGAGAAGACGCCCGCCAGGAGCAGCAGCAGTGAGATCGGCACGACCACCAGTAGCACGTCCTTGTAGGAGGCCGTCCCTGGTGCTAGACATGAAGGGTGGGGTCAGAAGTGGGCTTCGCGCTTCCTAACCCTTCGGCCCTTGACCCACCGGCCCTTGGCTTACCTGCTTCCCGAGGGCAGCTCTCCCACGGGGTGACTGTGGCCAAGTCCCAGCTGACAGGGTTGGAGACAATGCAGGAATAGGCCACATCCTTGTCTCTCAGTCCCAGAGAAAGGCTCAGGACCTGTCCGTCTGTGAAGAGGCTGTGTGTTCCAGCACCAAAGTCCATCGTTCCCTCCCGTCGCCAGCTATAGGTTATGTCACTGATGTTGGTGGCCCAGCAGGACAGGAAGACCTGGCAGGTGTTGGGGGGCTGAACGCTCCCTGCTACAGCGATGAAGACTTGAATCTTGGGCCTGGGTACCGCATCTGCACAAAAGCAGGAGAGCAGGTGTTCTAAGATCTTGTGTGCTTTTCCATCGCTCTCAGAATAGATGATTCCTTAGCCTTCCACTGGAAACCCTTCATGAAATGATTCAAGTTAGCCTCTCCAGCCATACCTCCTGCTCATCCTCCCTGCTCATCCTGATGAATTTTCAGTTCTCCCAAACATACCACACTGTTTGTAGCTTTCATGCTTCCACATGCCTCATTTGTGCAGATGGTTGCTTTTCTTCCGTTGCCTTCCTAGGAAACTCTCATGTACCCTTCAAGGCCGGCTTGGGCACATTGCTTAATGCCTGGACTGTGAAGTCTTCCCTGTATGCCGAGCATAGCCCTCAGCTGTCCACACACACACCGTCTGTCTCTTTTCGTAGCATTTCTCTTACCATGTGTCAGTCAGCAGGAGACGACAAGTGTTTATTAAATCAGGGGAGAAAACAAGCCCATTCCTGGACTTTTCCAGCTGACAGGTGATTATGAAAAACGAAGAAAAGGATGACAAGAGTGCAGGGTGCTGGGAAGGGGAGCCCAGAGGTAGCTGTTCTGTTTTGTCACCCTGATAACCTTAGCTCTCTAGGGCTGGGCCACCAAACAAATTGGTGTCCTGGGGCCCCAAACTGTGGCTCCCTGTTCCTAAACAGATTGACGAGTAAAGCTCCAGTCTGTGTGATGGGTCCAGTGGGAGAGCATTCTGGTGACAGCGGGAGGGCTTGTTCTCTGATGCCATTCCCAAGGAAAGCAGACTAGAACTGCGTTAATGCCAGCTCAGTCTGGTGGGATTTGTGATATGGAAAAAAGAAATGATTTGCCGGGCACACTAATAGTATAAACAGAGCTTACAGGGGGGATATTTACACCACTTAAGAGGACAGGCTGCTTCCAAACACGGGCAGGCACAGTAGAAACACCCATTGACATTTCTAGTAACCGATCCGCTAATTCAAATCAGTCTTATCTATTGTCAAAGCCGAGCTCCTAAGGACGTCGGCTTGGCAGCTTCCTGCAATTAGTTCTAATCACGCTATGTATTTGGAAGCAATAAAACAGCAATTTCCTTAAAATCTGTAATTCAGAGGCTGAGAACAAGGCATTTTAGAGCTTAGTGGTGTGGGTGCTGCATGCATTATCACATTTGATGCCCTCATTTCACACATGGTGCAGCTGAGACTCTGAATGTGAGAGGCTTCGGGCTGCCCTTATGGTTGTCAGGTTGTGCACTGCTCAAGGGCATGGGGCTAAGGGGCTGGAGGGCTGATCCAGCGAATACTTTGCTTGTCAAGACCTACACCCTGGCTCAGGGCTTCAAGGAGCCACAAGGGTTTCTCCTTTAATAGCATTTTCTGCAGCCTGAATGGCCACCAGGAGCAGCCAGGTAGCTGTTTCTGGGGTTCCAGATGCTTTTGCAGTTTGCTTCTGGCCTCTTTCCCTTTCTGCTTCCCTCCTCCCAGCTGCTATCCCCACTTTTCATTCTTAAATGAGACCCCGCCCTGCTTCTCTATCCACATTTCTGAGGTTTTCCTGAAGCAGAGGTTTGGGGTCACCCACATCTCTTTCCCCAGCTGCGTGTGGTAGATGAATGGAGTTGAAAAGCCAATCCTGCCTGACCAATGGGAATGTGTGCAGGGGGAGAGGGAGTTGTTGGGGGGGCATCCTGTGCCCAGTTAATTCAGCCACTCTAGCCGAGGTGACAGCAGCTGTGTGAAAGACCCTGGCAGATTCCCGGGGAGCAGCAAGTCCACCCAGCAGGGCCTGCCAGCTGATGAAACTGTAAAAAATAAAGAGATGTTTTCAGCCCTTAAGTTTTTGAGATGGTTTGATTTTCATTGAGGAATGCCCCAGAGAGTCCATGAATGACACACAGTTAAAAATCTCTAAGAGACCTCTTTTAAGACATATAGGGCTGGGGTGTAGACCAGTAGAAGAACAAAGCTAGAGTCAATCTCCAGCACCATAAATAAATAGCAAGCAAGCAAGTAAACAAAAAAATGCTTGATGGATGAAACAAACAAACATGATACTCTTCTAGTCTAATTTTAATTTTGTAAATAAAAGTCAGTTGTACCATAGTCTAATATGCAACACCATTTTTTCCTTTTTAGTGGTAGATGAAATAATGCCATATCTTATAATCTCTAGTGACACCTCAGAATCGGTAGACCGGCCAGGCTCCTTTCTAGATTCTTTTTCATGAGCACTGTGTCTCACCTTGTGGGCCCCGCGCATGGTAATACTGTCACGCTCACTTAACAAATGAGAAACAAGAAGGTCAGGCAGGCTAAGCATTGTGTCCAAGGCCACTGGGAAAAGAAAAAGATTCAGCTGGAGTTCAGATAAGGACAGCGGGAGGGCAAAGCCTGGCCACCCTAGGTACGAGCTCGCAGGGGAGCATGTGGAGAGTTTTCTTAGCTGTGACTAAAGCAGCAGCGGTTCCTTGAATTGGCCACATGGTAGAGAGCAGAGGTCCGGGAACCCAGTTCTCCTAACTGCTGCGGTCCAGGCTGCCTGTCTGATGCTTTGTGAGAGGAGCGGCGGGGTCAGGTGTACTAACCATACACCTTGAGCTGCAGGGTCTCGGTCCAGATCCGGCCACCGGTGTCCACCATGAGCACGGAGAAGTTGCCACTGTCCCCGGCCTGCAGGGGTCCGAGCTCCAGGCTGAGGTTGCTGTGCAGCTGGGCTCGGCCCAGGAAGCGGGAGTGGTACAGCATCTCCAGGGATCCCCGAAAAGATGTGGCCAGGAGCTCCTCTGAAGGCCAGAGAGATCTCCAGATGGCCTCGCGCACTTGGAAACCGGGGGGCTGCTCAGCTGCCAGCAGCACGGAGTCCCCCGCCTTGCTCAGCACTTGGGCGCCAGTGACTGCAACTGGAAGCAGTGCTGGAAGGACAGAGATCCTGGTTACTGCCCGCTTACGCCCTCATCCCCACACTGCACACAGATGGAGGGGCCAAATTCGGGCCCCTCTGTCCATGCTGCCATCACTGAAGTGAAGGTGCACTGGGCTAGGGCCGAGCACAAAACTGTCAGGAAGAGAACTCAGTCACTGTGTTTGTGAACCTCACAGAGGAAGCCAGACACTCAGGCAAGCCATTAAATAAATTACATGAAGTGCCATGATGCGGGGAGTGGGGTGTCCTGGCAGAACGCAGGTAGGGTGAAGAGGGAGCCCAGTCAGCCCTGAGGGACTCAGGGGAGAAATGGTGAAGCTGAGACCCAAAGGAGGAATGGGCATCAGACCCTGCACCAGAGCTGCCTGGAGCGGGGATCAGACAGGGAAGTGGTGTAAGTGGGAAGGGGAAGGGAAGAGTGCACAGAGGCCCGGAGGGGGCCCCGCGTGCCTGGGGAACAGAAAGTGTCCTTTGCAGGAGGCAAGGAAATGACGCTGCAGAGTTGGTGGGAGCCAGATCATGCCAGGCCCTGACAGCAGCACAGGAGCTCGGCTTTTATCCTTAAAAGAAAACTGCCCCTCAGACAGATTTTAAGCAGGAGGGTGAGATGATTAGATGCACGGTTAGGACGGCCACTCCAGCAGAGGTGTGGAGAAGGCATTGGCGGTAGGGCGATAGTGAGGCTGGGTTATCAACACCGGGAGAGGGCGACTGGAACTTGAACTGCGCAAGGGAGCCAGGGGGACGTGAAGAAGCCGGACAGATTGGAGAGGAGAGAGTAACACGGTGTGACGGCTCAGTAAGGTTTGGCAGTGGCTTAGCTCTGGGGAGTGAAGGAGAAGAAGAAGCTGGGGATGTGTCCTCCCCTCCGTGCTCTGGTCCGTGGGATCCACGAGGTGCCACTCACTCTGATCCGGAACTGGAGAAGAAGCAGACAGGGTGGCAGTGAGGTGGCCAGATGCTGAGTTTTGGCGGGGACTGTGTTTGAGATGTGAGGGAGACCCTTCTGCTTGAATTGCCCTCCGGACTCTTTCCCTGGCTCATTTCTGCTGCCTCTGGGAGTGTCACTGCCCGCTCCAGTGTTCCCATCCCTTCCTGCAGGTCACACACGCTTCCTGTGTTCCCTCGGCGATCAGGATCAGCACTATGACTACCCCTGTCCTTCCATTCCTGTTGTCTGTTTGAGGCAGCGTCTGTCACCAGTCCATGAGCTCTTCGAGGGCGACAGGTTTTTGTTTCTTTTTCTTAGTCTGCGGTCCTGCAGTGACTGCCCTGTTTAGGAGCAGGCCGTAGGAAGGCTCTGTAAATTGCACTGAACTGGCTGAACAGGCACTGGTGCCCCACGCAGGAGTCAGCACTGGGGTGCAGTCACGTGAGGGCAGATGTGGTAGGAGTTGGTTGAGGAATGGTGGGTGCTCTTCACTTCCTCTCTCCCTTACTGTCCTTCCTGGTCCCAGTCCTCTCCATCCTGGCGATGGCTTCCATGTTGATGCAAAGTAAGGACATAGCACAGATGGAGAACTGCGCCTGATGTCAGTGGAGACCTGCATTCTGTCCTGTCCTATCCTGGCTCTGCCTCGAGGCAGCTCTGTGACCTTCAGCGTTCCATCCCCTCCCTAAGCGTCAGCGGTCTTGCCTGTAAAACCAGAGGGCTGCACCAGATTGGTTGTATGGATCTCATTTGACCAGAAGAACTATTTTGAAAAGTATTTAATAGCTGGGGATGTAGCTCAGTGGTCCAGTACCTGTTTAGCATATATATATAGAAACAAACAAAAATGTATTTCTTTGGTGGTATTCTTTTGGTTTCGGGGATCGAACAATGGTGCTTGAGAAGCAGGCAGCAGAACCAGTGAGCTAAATCTGAGGCCCCATGAAGCAAAAATTTAAAAAACAGTCCATATGTTAGGAGTTGATAGAACAATATCCTCACATGTTCAGTGACTTGAAAGATTTTGTGAGTCAAACGCACTGAGGTATTTTTGAAGGATTAGGTGTGATTACTCACACACATTAAAAAATAAAGAAATCAGGAAGGTTCTTGGGAACCTTCAGGGTCGGGAACTCAGGAGGGGGCACCAGAGAAAGCAAACTCAAAATCCCTATGAGTCTCTGGAATATAAACAATGTCTAGGTTCCCGTCACACCTGTGACCCCCACCCTTGGCCCTGTAGGGGCTGACTCTGGTCATACTGGCTACTTGCTGAACAAGGCAAACGCAGGCACCAGAAGATGGGGGATTTCCCAGTGTTGAGGAGACCCCGAATCTTAGCCCTTCCAGCGTCGCACCATTGCCAGCCACACCCAAGCCCAGTGGACTGCACTTAACTTTCTCCCGATTCTCCTCCCTGCTTAATACCCACCTCTCCTTGCACAGGCTGCATGGAGGGATCCCAGCTTCTCCACAGGCTGCTGATAACATATTTCGCAGACTGCAGGGACCCCTGTGCTGCCCCAGTCCCTTCCTCTGCTTTGCTCAGACCGTATGTAGGATTTTCATGTGTTGACACTTCCAAGTCCTCACGATCTAAGTTTCTCTCTAAATCAACAGCACCATTGGCTCAGTTCTGTCTTGGGCCACAAAACAGCTCGTGTCTCCTAGACACGGATGCTTGTAGTGGTGCTACCTCCTCCCACTCAGGCATCGGTATCTGCCTAGCTGTAAATGGTTCCTAACAACTTGCTTCGCTCTTCTCTGTCCTTTCTGAGCTCGTGGGTTCTCACTTGGTCTGGCTGAAGAGGACCCTAGAGGTCTGGCAAGGGGAAAGGGGAGGGCCGCCCCACTTACCTTTCCAGAGAAGCAGACTCCACAGGGATCCCACAGCCATCCTCCACTGGAGAGGCACGTAAACTCCCTTCGCAGTCAAAGCCCAGAACATCCCAGACCTGTGGGATGCTCAGAAGGAGCTGTGGCCCTTCTGGAAAGTCCCATGTTCAGAAGGAGGAATCTTGACTCAGAATAAGATGCCCTGAAAGTGAAAACATCCCAAACAAAGTGGAAGTTGGCTGCAGGCCTGGCTGGGCTTTCAGGAACAGATTCTTGTAAATCATCCTCTTTCCTGTGCCCACGGTTGGCTAATGCACAGTGACAAATGTACTGTACAAGCCCACATGCTCCTAGCTGCCTGCTGTGGGGCCTCCCTGCACTTGATTGACTCTGCCTGTGGCTATCTGTGCTCTCCCTTGTGGTCACAGAGACCCCTCAGAGTTGCAGGTCCTATCAAGTCACTTCTCCTCTGCTTAAAATTCCTTCAAGGCCTCCCGCTAACCTCAGGATAGACTGTACTCTCAGCTTAGCGTGCAAGGTTCTTCTGCTTTTCCTGGCTCAGTGTTCAAAGTTTTGATTTTCGTGGCTGATTTCCTGCATCCACTCAGCTCCCTGGCTTCCTGGCCAGAACTGCTCTTTCCAGAACCGTCCATTTCACACTTTCGCTCTCAGAAAGGATCTCCTTGCAGCCCTAGGAAAGGTGGAGAGATTCAAAAGCGAAATAAACTCAGACACAGTTTCCCTCTGCATACCTTGTTTCTCTTTTTGCTTCTTGTTAACTGGTTGCTCATGTCAGGGAGACTTTTTAAGATGTTGTCCCTGAGGAATATTCCCGTTTGTCCCAATGTGGCTTATTGGGTTTGTTTCTGCGTAGCCTCTGACCTAACACTCAAACCGGAGCCCCGTACTTTGGACTGAGGCAGGAAGTAGGCACATAGGATGTGGGATGGAGTCCCAGCTTTTATGTACACCCAGCCGAAATGTAGAAACAGACACGCAGGGAGGGTGAAGATCGCCCACAGACAGGCCCGCTCTGTGTTGATGGGGCACACAGGTAGTCAGCACCTTGGGAGGACCTGGGCTGGGGGTGAAAGTTAAGCTACACCCTGAAGATGGGTATGGTTTGGAGAGGAAGAGAAAAAGGAGACGGCCACGGTTGAGGGTGAGTCCTGGGCATGAGGGGAGAGGGGAGTGTACAGAGCCTCCGCAGCAGGGAAAGTACCGAGTGGGTTCCAGGAATAAGGTGGTACAGCAGGGAAGAAACCTTTAGGGCTGAAGAGGGAGGAATGGGTAGGCAGGCTGCGATTGGATTATGCAGACCTGATGCGTACGTGCGGGGTTAATTTGGAGAGCAGGAGCTCACCCTTGTTACACACATGGGTTCTCAGGGCTGCTGAGGGGGATCTAGTTCTCACTACCTCTGCCTGGGTGGCTGGTGGGCCCAGGGAACGCTCCAAGGAGCGCTGCTTGGGAGGCAGGAGGCCTGCCTGTTTTGAGCTGGGGGCAACTTCCCAGCGGTGTGAGAACGGCACAAGACAGAGTAGAGCAGGCAAGAGGCCTGGGGGACAGGTGGTTGTGATGCCTGGACTAGGAAGGAAATATCTGGGATTAGGAGAAAAGAACAGAGCAGAAATCCTGGCAGCACGCGGCTGTGCTCTTTCCTGTAGGATAAAAAGGCCGAGGGAATGGACTAATTTATGATTCTATTGTCATTTCTGTCATCCATTCATCAGGCATTTATTGAGCATCTACTTATGTGCCAGGTTCTGGGGACACAGAGATGAAAGACTTAGCCCCTGCCCTTAAGGAGTCCGAAGTTTAGAGGAGGAGAGGGAATAAGTAACCCAATAATTACAACTGATGTGGCAGGAACAATGCCAGGAGTGTGCAGGGGCTGCTGCGGGAGCCGGAGGGCAGAGACCCGCCCAGCTCTCCAAGCACTGTCCGATTAGACGGAATGATCCCGGGGTGTCAAGGCCTGGGACGTGAGGGCTGAGGGGTGCAGGAGTGGGGCCAGCGTGGGACCCAGATCCTGAATCCCTTCTGAGGAGGCAGAGGCAGTCACCCCTCCTTAGCAGAATCGGCTGCCCAGAGGGGTCCCCTAACACTCTCTCTGCCTCCACCTCCACCTCCTCTGTGAACCCTCTGTCCTGGAGGGGGAGATTTGCAGAAGCCGAGGGGCAGAAGAGGAGGCTGCACGTGGACTGGAAAATATCTCACCTCCCCAAAAGGAAAAAACCTGGGGCCGGTGGTGTGACAGGGACAGAAATCCAAGCGGATGGAGCCCGTGGTGCTTCTTCCTCCGGTGTGCAGGGAAGGGTTAAGTCTGGCAGGCAGGTTCTCCCCACCGCTGCTAATCACTGGTTCACACCACATTAATTACCCAGCCACAGGGGGGAGTGCGCTGGAGTAAATTAGCTGGTGAGTTCAAAGGGGCCACTCCCTGCATTCCTTAATTAAGAGAGCAGCTGGCAGCCGGTGCTGCTGTGCCACCTCCCTGGGGCCTTTCTGGGAAGCCAGAGTGGAATCAGGCAGAGTCTGCGCGTGCTGTAACCGGCTAGTAGCTCCATCTTCCGGGTGGGGCCCCCTGCACCCCACCATTAGCCCACCTCCATTGTGGGGGGCAGGAAGGTGGGGGCGCAGGTGTTAACCATGGCCAAGCCACCGGCCTGAGTTCTTCCATGAGCGGCTGGTGCGGCGGTTCAGGCTGGGTGGGTTTCGGGGGAGGGTGCAACGAGCTGTGACTGCTGTGTCCTGTGCTCCAGAGTTGAAAGAGGCCATGGTTCTCCCAGGGGGAGAGGTGGGAGAGGAAGAGAAACTGGGGTGCTTGAGAAGTTGGGAGAGAGGGGAGCCAGGAGAGACAGGAGGCCAAGACAGAGCTGCTGAAGGGTCTGGAAGAGACAGAATCTGCAGGGCTTTGAGGAACCAAGGCTGAAGGGAAGGGAGATCTGTGGGACAGAGCAGAAGGGAGCAGGCTGCACCTCACTGCTGGGTGAAATTTAGATGCAGTTATTCTTTTGGACCGAGGTGCTCCTGCACCAGGCCCAAGTGACTGGACAAGAATGGAGTCGCTCCTGCCAGGTGCCACCTAAAAAGACACTTTCCAAAAACCCCAAGAAATCCCCAGTAATCAGTTTGTTTTTTTTTTCTTCTGTTGTGCTTTTTTTCAGCCCTTGCTTCCTATAAAGCTCAGGTCCTCTGCCCATCTTTACTAAACCTTCAGATGATTCGCTGACCCCCATTAATGAACTGTTAATAAAAGCCAATTAGATCATTAGCCGTATTTGTTGAGGTTTTATTTTTTATATCACGTCCCATCTGCATAATCTGTCAGTAGACACCAGGTCCCCAGACCCTGGGGCAGGCACCCCATCTCGTTCCCCGGAGGACCCAGCCTAGGTGGCTGTGTGATGTCAGGAAGATGGGATTCGAGGCAGAATGTGTGGCTCAGCTTCCACCAGGTGTGACGTGGATACACCTTACCTCCCCTGAGGTGCGCTGGAAGGGCCTCGGAGCCTCAGTTCCTTCCCCAGTTTCATGCCTAAAACACTACACCCATCCTCCCTGTTCTGGCCCTGCTGGAAGCAGGTAGGAATGAAATCTCTCACGAACCAGAAGAGTGAGCGGGCGGGAACACCCGCAGGAGGGCAGCGGGAGGGGTTCACTCTGCTTTCCAGGCAATGACACAGCTTCCCAGAGACTTGAAGGAAGGCGGCATGAAAAGAAACCTAGCCACAGTTGTGCTTTATTGAGGCGGGGAGGGGGCAGCTAGAGCTCTTTCACGCACACACTCATTCACCACGTGTGTGGAAGGCGGGGCTCCCACCTCGCGCATACAAATGCCCCCAACACACACTTAGAGGGCATCGAGCATGTGTACGCCCCACGAGGTCAGGAACTCAATGCCAGTGATGAGTGATCGTGTACCGAGGATAAAAGGAACAATCACGATCGATCTGTGCCCCATGTGGGAAAGAATTTCAGAAACAAGTAGAACATCAGCTGTGTTTCCAGCGTCTGAGAGAAGAAGTCCCCCACCCCAGCAGCGAGCAATGTCTGCTGCTATATAGTCCTGTGGTGATCTTTCCGGGTCCTGGGAGCTGCAGCTGCTTCCTCCACTGCAGAGGGAAATGAGACCATTTGGTGGTGTACACAGAATCCCCACGTCAGATGAAAACGCTGGGTCTTCCCCATGCTGAATAGACAATCTGTAGTCAGGGTCCTCAGAGTTAATACAAAGGGGACGGACACAGAGCTGCCTAGGTTTAAATAAAAATACAGACCTTATTAGCCAAATCTATACTAACATACCTGGGATTGAAAGAGATCCCAATGCATGCAGCCCCCTTGTTTCAGGGAAGGAAGGACCACATTCTATTTATAGCTTGTATCTAAATTGCATAGCCGCATACCATACAAGGACTGGCTGTCCAATCATATCTTGAGAAGTCGATGAATGGATCAGACCACAGTGTAGGAGGGCGGTCTGTAAATTCTTAACTACCCGAGAGGGCCACCAGGGGGCAGGCCTGAGCCTATGAGTCCAGGTGTGGGCTTCTTTCTCTGTCTTTTAAAGGGCGTCTTTAGGCTGCTTCTCCACTCCCAACTCAGATACGGAGTTCTTTCTTCTCCTTCTGCACTTCAGTCAGTGTGACCCTACAGACCCCAGGTCCGTAGAAAAGGCGCAGCCAACTCCCCTGGCTGGCTAAGAGTTTGCGCTTAGTTCTGACTTGGACGGAAAAAGAGTTTTCGCAGAGCAGAGCCCTGAGACTCAGTAGAGCTGCTGGCGGGCAGTCCGCAGCCCCCTAGTCTCCTGAGGGCGCCTCCTCAGTGTCCACAGGGTCCATCCCGTCAGGTTCGGCTCTGACCCGAGGGCAGGAAATGGGGCTGCGGTCTGGAAAGTCTGGTTCTCCTCAGAAAGCTCTATTTTATGTTCTGTTCTGGGTTTTTCTTTTTGTTCAATTTTCTTAGCAAAAGTCCGCTGTGAAAAATTCCAGCTTATTCTTTTATAAACTGAGGGGAAAATGTGCACATACAGGGGAGGGTGGGGAAGGATTCTAGCGAGAAAGCAAAGTGCCCAAGCAGCCAGGCAGTGGGGGGTTTGTAGTGAGAAGGAGGATGCAAGCATGGACTGTGCGTGAGCCAGTGTGAGAAGGGCTTCTCATCCGTCTGTGCTGAAGGACCTGTTTTTCTGATTCCTACCCATTGTGGACTCATACGTTTGTAGAATACAATGAAAGCAAATTACTAGGAAAAAAATAAAACCAGACATACGTACAAAAATCCAACTCCTGATTTTTGATGATTATATTAAATGAACCGGATTGCTATAAAAGTTTCTAAGGTTTTGCTTTAATTTTGCCACTTGTCTCGTCACAGACTGGCTCCGGGCCAGTGTTGAGTGTCACTGGTGGAGGGGCAGGAAGGGGGAAAGGTGTGACTCCCAAACAGGAAGTGGCATGTGGTGTATAGGTCAGTGGAAGGGCTGCTTCCGTCCCAGACTCCACTATCGGTGTTGCCCCCGGTGAGCTGACTTGGGAAGCCACCCTCTAGAAGGGGGTGATTCCTGTGAGGCAGATGTGGCAAGGACTTGGGTTCTGCTGGTGCACCCAGGTCACAGCCGAGGACTCCGGGCTGCTGGATAATCTGCCTGTGCTTCTCTGTCCCAGCAGCACTGTCTGTGACGGCAGAGGGGAGGGAACCCTGGTGTATTGAGCATGGGCTGCACTGATGCAGAGAGATGGGCGCAAGAGGGGGAGGGAGTGGGGGATTACTGGTAACCCTCTCTCATTCTTATCTTCTCTCATCTTCAGCCAGAGCAGAACCACAGGCAGTGAGGCTCCGAGAGGAGCAGATGCATGCACTTTAAAGTAGGTGGACCAACACTTTTAAATTTTAATATGCATGCAAATCACCCGCAGATCCAACTGAAATGCAGATTCTTTTTTTTGGTACCAGGAACTGAACTCGGGTCTTTGCGCTTGCAAGGCAGGCCACTGAACCGCTGAGCTGAATCCCCAGCCCTGAAATGCAGATTCTGACTGAGCAATCTGGGGTTGGGTCCCAGCGGTGGCGCTGCTAATAAGCTCGCCGTGACATCAGTGCTAGTGTTTAGGAAAGGCATGACGGTACCAAGGAGCTGTCGGCTTAAGTGTTGCCTCCTTCATGGGTGCGGTGGGAGGCGTCTGCCTATCTGTATGGTGACTTCACTCTGCAGTTCCAGGGAAGGAGCCCATGAAGTCAGGCCAGTGTAACTAACCCTTCAGGCCTCAAGCAGTGTGGACTCCTGAATAAACCAAACTGAACAGTCAGACATAGAAGGATGGATATTGCTAAACACTATAAAACAAATCAATACATTTCTAGTAACAAAGTAGATTTTACAGCCATGTATCTTTTTATTTCTTATATTTACTGTAAAAATACATGTCAATTAGTGTCTTTTAACAAAATGTTGGCTTTCACCGTGGTATCTGCGTACATACGTACAACATATCTTCATCGCATTCACCCCTGCACTGTATCTTTTTAAATAAGCAAGGGGTAACAGAGTTTTCTGGTGCCCACTACTAGTGGGGGCTCTGGGTAAATCCCAGTTCTGTCTCTGATGAATGGGAAGGGATCTGGACAGAAACAGGACCGCGTGTGGAGGCAGAGTTGTTGGTGCCTGCAGGGCCCTGGCCCCAATGTCAAGGGTTTTGTGGTATTATTTGGGTTAGAACTTTTCTGCCTGACCTTGTTCTTGCTGAGCCTCTGGGAGGCCCTTTTGCCCCCAGTCACTTGTTGGCCCCAGTAGCATCTTAAAAGGTGGGAATTCATTATCGAGCTGCGTGCTCTAGGGCCAGACCTCTGGGATGGGAGCTGATGCTTTCTTTCCAGGGTCAGGCCACACACATTCATATCCCCCTCCATATAT